TGTATTTGTTCAAATAATTGTTATGGGCAGGTTACAATATAAACAAATGTTTGTCATAATCATGTCTTCTGATTATTTGACAGGAGTTTTACTTTTAAAATGTAAGTGTATTTAATTCAGTTATGATGTAAATACAATAAAAATTAAATCAAGATTTAGAATAATTATCATTTAGATCTGTACATTAATAATGTCTGACTGGGTCTCGTGACACTTTATGTTCAATAAATTGGGCCCCGAGGTCAAAAAGGTTAAGAACCCCTGGTCTAGGTGAYGTAGTTGCAAAGGGTCAGTCGGCTTTCATTTGTTTGGTTCAGTAAAACGTCTGAAGGACCAGATTGTGAAATCGACAGCAAATCTTTAGGTTCTGTCAAAAACTCATTCGTCTTCATGAGATACGAGGATCTAAATCCATACAATACAGACTCTACAACGGTTTCCTCTGTAAACATTTTACTTCCTGCTCTTCATTTGAAATCATGCTGTAAAAAATCACAACTGAAATCCAGCTATAGAGCCTAGATTTGAGAAAGAGATTAAGATTTTCCTAATTTTCTGGAGAAAATGCAACTAAAGAAAAGGGACATTAGTGGAGGACTCTGTAGGTGGAGCTGTGTTTGGGGKTTTTGAAAGATTGCTACAATCATTCAGAAGTTCAAGGAGGTACAACTCATCCTGCTTAGTGCTGCACAGCAGACAGTTAAGGCCATGAATATGAATGTAGTTTAAATACTGCAGCAGCAGGAAGAGCTTTGGTTTGTTCAGCCAGTCAGCAGACGTCTACGTCTGGAACAATCACAACTCTTCACGTCACCGGAGAGCCCCGTTGAGCCATGAAAGCATCTACTTTGATGCAGGGCCTAAATCAAGGCTGTGAAGTGGTCCCGTGTGGTCCGAAAACCATCTTGTACGCTGAGGTAGGTGGTGCAAAAAGCCCTTTTTGTGAACTTTAATCCCCAACGGTTCGCTGGGATTAAAGTGCCGAGCTTTAGCATCCGTCTTCAGCTGTTGTTTGAACCTTTAACACGCCGACGTGTTGTTGCGGCAGCAGCCCTGAGCATGTTTGAATGATCCCTCTCCAGTCTTACAGAGCTGCTTTCTAAGCCAATTAAAACATCTCAGCCCTGGTTATTGTTTCGGCAGACTGGCACCTCATTAAAACGTGTTTTCGGAAGTGTCAAGCTGGCGCCTAGCCCAAATAAATAAATGCCTGGGATTAAACCTCAGCCGGTCGTTAAGGACAGACTGGTGATGTAAAAGGAGACGAAGGAAACAACAGTCGTGCGAGAGCCTCCATTAATTCTGAAAACAAACAGCTCTGTTGATAAGTGCTCCCAGTGGGGGGTGGGGTGGGGGGGCTTTTTAAATCATGCCGCCTCCTGCTACTTTGTAAATACTGTAACTGTTGAGTGGGTTGTGCTCCAAAGCGATAAGAAGACTTTCTGATTGTTTCGGCTTCGTTTTAGATTCAAGTGGCCTTGTGAAACGTTTAAACCCTTCATCAGAGGAGCTCGTTCAATAGCTGACTGCAGCCACCACCTCTGCCATGAACATGAATCCTCCCTGCAGGCGAGGCGAGGCAGACCGGCTGCTGACGCTAGCATTTCCTACACGCTCCTCCCTGCTCCACTTCGTTATTGTTCAGATCAGCCTAAAACAAGTTCTGCACGACAACAAACTTTGTTGTTTTTAAAGGATCTAATTTTAGTTTTAGAGCAACATCGTGATAAAAATGGGTTTTACTTGCCTTTAGCAAAAACTAGTATATGCAAGTATCCTTAAAGTCAGAGAAGCCCAAAGTGGGGCTCACGGGCCAAATTTGGCCCGCCAAGCCATTTGATTTGGCCCACTAAAGGGCTCGACACACGTGGAGCGACAAACTACAGCGATTAACGGCTGTCATCGCAGCCAGGGTGAAACCCGACACACGG